AAAACTTAAAACTTTTCCACCACTTGCGACGGTAGTGAAAGGGTCATGGTTGTATAACTCATCAATAAATTATGTATATTAAAATGCCTGGGTAGATTCTGCTGATTTCCACAGCCAGTTTTTGCTGTCAAATGGTCTTTTAGGGTGCAATTCCCTCCAGCTCTCTGTGCATCTGCTGCACCCAGAGGCTCTCCCTGCCCCGGGATCGTCTCTGGCTGCAGCCTGCTCTGTTACTGCCCGGCAAAACCAGCAATACCGGGCGGTAACACCCAGAGCAAGTGGGCTGCTACCGTAACTTGCTAGAGCAAGGGGGTCCCCTCGAATGGTGCAAAAGATGCTCAACGGCTCCGTGAACAGGAAAGTTGGCGTGAGATAATGAAGACGGTGTTCCCTCCGTGATGGGGGGGTTGCTGAAGAGCAAGCCGGGAAGCACCTGCAGGCGCTGAAGAGGAGGGCTAAGGGGATTTTCCACCTTTATTTACCCCTTGGAGATAAGGGGAAGGGCCATGTTCTCTAATAGCAATGGCTTTTAAGCCACATGCAGCAGCCGGTGCAGGCAGCTCTCCTTTGGGTCACCCACCCGAAGGGGTGATGGGGCTGGGAGCTGGAGCAGAGCTCCAGCCCCAGATGATGGCCCAGGGTCTCGAGTTCCCCCGGGGATGACCGTGGCCAGTCCTGGGGAGGGGGCACTCCTCCTGGGGCAGCGAGGGTCAGTCCCCGGGTTTGGCCAGGCTCACCCTGTTGCAGCCCCGGCCGTGGGTCTGGGCTCCCCCAGGCTCACAGCTGCCTCCTCCCACAGCCGTGGACGGCCGTGGGCCGTGGGTCCGGGCTCCCCACAGCTGCCTCCTCCCACAGCCGTGGTACGGGGACACAGCTTACACGGGGGGACCCACCGCCGGCCCCCGGCTACATGCGGCGGAGGGGATGAGTGGGACCGCAGGCATTAGGGCTGGCAGCGGGTGGCCCCGGGTGGCTGTTCGGGATGGGGCCATCCCCATCCCTCCCCTCCTGGGACCAGCAGCACCGACTCCACATCCCTGGCCCAGCCTGATTATCCCCAATCCACATCCCAGCCTGCGGATAAACAAAGCGTGTCTGGTTCCCCCCCCCCTCGCAGACCCTCCCCTGGGCCGCTTACATATTCCGACAGCTTCACACTGGGACCATCCCGTCATTAGAGGGTCATTTGCAGGAGCTGTCAAGGGTGGGCGAGGGAGGTGTGGGGCTAACCCCTGGCAGGAGGCAGATGCGCGCAGAAATCTGGCGATCCGGGCTCTTGATGAAATAAAATTAAATTTTTTGGCCACTTCCTCCACAGGTTTGCTACTCCCTCTCAAAAACTGTTGTCACACCAGCAGCAAAGCCAAGAGGTTTCACTCTCTCACGCTCACCAGCTCCTCGCCCCTCCCAGGACACCCCCTCGCCCTCCCCAGCCCCCCGTGTCCATCAGCCTTGCTGGAAGCTGTATCTTTGCGATCTCTGCCCCTCCATCAAGCCCGTTTGAAATAGAGCAGCGGGTTCAAAAGTTGTCGTGGGGCAGGGGGAGGCAGACAGCCGTTCCCTGGGAAGAGCCGGGTGGAAAAATAAAGGCTGAGATTCCAGGGCTGTAAGGAAAACATCAAAGTGTGGACGGCTACAATAAAGCTGCACCGCCGTGCTTAGGCAAGGCATCTGCTAGGGAGCCCGGCTTTGCAAGGCTTGGGCTGTGAGTGGAGACCTAATCTCTGAGCAGAGAGCGCTCTGCTGCCTGGCCCTTCTCCTGCCCCAATACACATCAGCTGCGTGACAGAAGGACCCCAGACACGCAGGACAATAAAGCGGGGGGACAGCTCCAGCCTTGCCGCGGGCTGCCTTCCTGCAGGCATCGCCAGGCCCCGCAGACGGCACCTTTCCAGCGACTGGCATGACCCTTCTGCATCCCGGGGCCAGAGGCTGCTGGGGCAGGGACACTGCGCGGGCGGTGGGACAGCAGGAACAGGACACGGAGGCTTTCACCCCACTCCTGCTGCACGGGCAGGGAATGGTCCAGCTGGCACGCACAGCCAGACCCTGCTCCTGCCTCCCCACTCAGAGATGCTCTTGTGAGCCTCACCTGGGCAGAAGGGACCGGTTTTTGCACCAGTTTCTCAGTGGGAGTTTTGCTGCAGAGCAGAAACCCTACAGCGAG